TTTTTTTTTTTTTTTTTTCCCCATACAGGGGGCCGGGGTCCCGGGTGTCGACCCCCGGAACCCCGGAACCCCGGCGGGGTCCCGGGGCCGGGGGTCGACAACCCTGGCAGACAGCGGTGGTGGGCTATTTGCCACTGCAATGAGGCTAGTTATTGTTTTCGTTTTTGTGTGTTTTTATTTTTTTTATGAAAAGTTGTGACCATTGTATTGCAAATGGAAGGTTAGAGGTCGTGGAAACCTCAACAAACAACCCGGAAAAAACTGGGGCCACTACCCAGCTTAGACTGAGCTGGAAACCGGCTCCAGCATCCCATCCCTGACCAACTTGTAAATAGGGCAGGAAGCTGGGTTCAGCGTCCCATCACTTTCCAGTGGCAGACAAATCTTCAAATGATGCTAGATTTGCCAGGTTGCCTTTTATGCTTTGAAACCATTTGATTGGCGTGATTGTGTCCCGCGCACATCCAGGTGCCTAGCCCATCTATCCCTAAGCTTATCCTTTGGTTAGGTCAACCCTGTAGGTTAATTTCTTCAAGATGTCTCTGCGCTGCTAACATTTTTGAGTATTCATTGCATTTACGGCCTAGGAACATGAGACCGTTATTGAACCAACTTATATCGTCATTTATGATCCTCTTCTGGTCTTTCCAGTAAGACCATACATCTTGTAGGTATGCTTTAAATTGGTCAATGTGCGGTAGGGAGGTGTTTAATTTGTAGAATCCTTTCCCTTGATCAGGCTTTTCCACAATGGGAGAGGTTTGCGATTCCCCCATTTCCATTCTTCAAGATCGAAGGGGAGGCAGTAGATGGGGGTCGACATCTCATAAGCCCACCAGCCATCCTTCTCTTCCCCCACTACTCGGATCCGGACGAGATCACTCTTCTGCAGTTGCCTATCCCTATCCTGGTTACGAGTGAGGCAGGAGAGACGTTCTCCTGATAAGGATGGATCATATGCCAGGAGGTCCGCCTGATGTTGGTGTATGTTCTGCACTTTGTAGATGACAGACGACAGGGGCAAGGATGTAGTGTCAACCACCCAATCTCCTTTTTGGCATTGTGGCCCTTTCTTGAGCGCTCGCACCCAGGCAATCGGGATCGCTTTGTGAAGTTGATGTAGTTTTTCATCCATATTTCTTATGTTTTTAAGGTTGGATTGCATTTGGGATGTTGTTTTCCATTTGCGAGATTGTGGGTCTCACAGGTCACCAACTGTAAAAATTCTGTATTTGATCCACCGCAGCCAGTGAGATCCAGTTGCTGTTGTAAACGGCTGACCATTTTGGTCCAATCTCTGTGGATTCCCAAACCAAGGTTGGCGCCAAACCTCATGCCATCTACGCTGAGGTGGAACCTTAGTCGGTCCTATATCTCTCCATAGCTTGAGGAGGGAGGGTCATAGCAGATCATTGGTCTGGTCAGCTTTAGTGGTTTTTGTTTGTGAGTGGATGTCTGTCGTTCTTGGGGTTGTCGAGATCGACCATGCGGGGTTCGTTAGCCACTGTTGTGGATGGACCGGCTGGTCTAACGCTGTTGGCGGGGCCAAGTTTGACAGTTGGATGTAAGCAAGTGGGGCCCATGGTATATTTTCCGCCATCAATAGCCGTATGATGATTTTGAACATTAGTGTTTTTATTTGGTCTCCTGGGTCGGTTATTGCCAGCCCGCCTTTGTTTCTTGGTTGGGCTATTTGGGCCCAGGCCACATGTTTGAC